GGCCCCAGGAGTGGTAGAGCCTGGCTTCCTGCAGGAGTTACTTAAAGACTGCAATTTCGACAACCAACTTTGGCGGGAATCATCTGATGCATCTGGCTCTTGTTAGGGACAGGCCGGTGGGGGTGGGGTGGGGGGTGTCTAAAAATATCAGAGGCAGAGCTGCCACCCAGCATGATCCCCCGGGTTGGTAACCTGATACCCACAGTGGGGCTGCTGGTGGTGACTGTGTGACGTTGTTCTGTACCAGTCACTTGGGCTCTCCCAGGCAGCAGAGCCTTAGGTGGATGCCTGGGAGGGGTAAGAGCTGTCTGCATTCAGGGCAGCCGTGGGGTGATATCGGAGAATTTCAGGGACATTGCATTGTGACAGCTAGGGCCACTCAGAGAGGTGGAGTGACTTGCCTGAAGTCACCCAGCACTTGGCTGCAGGTTCATCTCTGTGTACCAATATAGAAAGATCTTTAAGACATGGTTGAATTTAAAAAAAAAAAAGTAGCAAAGCAATATGTGGGAAAACATGCTATTTATAAATAGTAGCTGTATTTCGTCTGTACTCCTGTAATTCATATGTATTACATGTATACAAAGAAAAATGTCTGGAAGGATATATCAAAATAGATTGATGTGGTTGCCTCTGGTGAGAGGGGAGAGGAGGAAACGGGTGTGGAAACAGTGGGCCCAGGGACTCCAGTCTTATCTGTAACAGAGAATATATTTACAAGTTACTTGTGTACCTGAAGTTTAGTAATAATAAGGGGCGTTTTGCAGGTTTGGGGGTGAAGAGCTTTGCATGGTGGAGTGTCTGTGGACAGAGAATCTAGATAAGGCTGTGCAGCAATCCAGGGACAAGTAATGGGGCTTGAATGCGGAGGTGCCGTCAGTCCCCATGGAGCGTTCCCCTCGGAATATCACATTGTGGACGCCTCGTGGGTGTGATGGGTTCCCCGTCCAGGTGCTGTTAATAGACAAGTGTCGATTAGGGAAAGAGGGGGCAACAGTGAGTACACTTGGGGTGTGTTAGCGCCATCACGAGATCCCAGCAGG